GAGATAGAGATAGAGATAGAGATAGAGATAGAGATAGAGATAGAGATAGAGATAGATATAGATATAAAGTCAAACCCCTGGTATGCCCAAATATGGGAGGAAGGTCACACTTCCACTCTCTGTTATTTATATATATATAAATAATTTCAGCTAGCCTTTGTAAGGGATGAAGCAGGGGAAAATATTAACTCAACCAAAATAGAATTGTCATATAAAGACAAGGCAGCTATCCCTTATTTTGAAGGATGGGGAAAGAATGCCCAAAAGTTGATTCAAAATAGGAGGAAAAGGATTTAGGATTTAAATCAGGGGATTGATGTATATACAGGGTCTGATTTCCACATCCTGAAATAGGCAGGCCTTCTCTCTATGCCTTATCATTGATACCATCATCAATATCACAATTCTCAACTTCAGCCATTTAAAGATGTGTGGGCTTCTACTCCCATAATTTCTTGCTGCCTAGAGAATTCTGAAAGTGCACACATCTTTAAGTTGTCAAAGTTGAGAAACACTGATTTAGATCTCTTCTTTATTGACATATACACTGCATATTCTTGAAAAATAAATGGGAAATTAAAAAAAAATGAAATATGAAGTGCTAAACAGGAAATACAGGCCAATTTACTTGCAGAGTAATAGTTGTATTGTAGCAGAGAACTGCAGGGTAAACAAGCAAAAGTCTGGGAATTCTTACCAAAAGGCTCCTTAAGCTTTGTAGAATTCCATATTGCAATCTGCAATATTGCAGATGGAATGTTTTCCATCTGTGTTGGGCGATGACAGAACTGGAGGTAAATTAGTTCAGCTGCCCAACCATAATAAGAAACAGGCGGCTCTAAGACCAACACCAAACTGCATGGAACTCTTGTGTTTGTTGCATGATGTAAAAGGGAGTGTTGCCAAAATGCAGTCATATTTATTTATTTATGAAATTTATTTGCCACCCGTCTCATATCCAAAAGCCCTGGGTAGCTTACAATATTAAAAAGTATATACCTGATAGTAAACAACTGATTGCTGCAGTTGCTTAATTTTTTTATCACACGCTTCTTCCAGCTCTGTCCAGTTTTTGCTCAGTTCCTGGCACTTTTCTTTGATTGTCTGAGAAGACATGCACGTATCGTCTGCCATGGCATTCCCCTTTTCTAGAACCCTGGAGATTTGCTGCTTATGGGCTTTTACTTCGATTTGTAATTCCTAGAAGACAAACAGGCAGAAATGTGATGGAAAGGTGAGAGACAGGACAAATAGCCAAAAGCCAAATCCTTGTTCCTGGCAAGTTTTCCATCTGACTGAAGAATGAGCAGCTAACGCTAACCCAAATGTAAAAAGTGAAATGCTTTTGAAAGTCCCCAGTCTGACTTTTAAAGAATCATTATAAGTTATAAGAGTTACCTTCTGCTTCTGTAGCAAGCTTTGAGCCCCATTTAAAGATTTTCCTTGGATTGTGGAATTGGCAATGGACATTCGCTCATTAATCCATTTCATTTCCATGTCATGGTAATGGTAGAACTGAAACAGTTCCACATTTGCCTCCAACAGATGCCCCCTCTCCGCAAGAGGTTTTTGGAGGGAATCAAATCTGTAGATTAGATTTTTTTTTCAATTTTTTTCAATTAAACAAACAACACACATACAAAAATAATCATCTTACATTACATCTTGTAGAAAGTGTGTCAATTGATTATAATTAGCTTTCCTGCATCTCTTCCACAGTCATTACTTACATTCATATCGAATGTCAAAGTTCTTGATGAGTCTTACTTTCAACATATCATAGTTCTCATTTGACTGAAATTGTTTTAGTGTCCTTTTGCCCAGAGTAATCCATAGTTAAAAACACAACCACCTAATGGCATTTCATTAATTATTACTGAGTCATCTAATAGCCTTAAACCTTTATAATATATTCTAAACAAAAATTAGTTGACAAAATTTCTAGATTAGATTTTTTTTAAGGCTGTTCACATTTGTATATTTAAAAAGAATCATAACTAACTAAACATGTCTAATTGATTGGTCCTATTAGTACAAATGCCATTACTAGTATTAGTAAAGTAATAATGCTAGACAAGAAGTGAAAGCATCATAGGGACATTTTCCACAACTATTTTACATTATAATTATCCAATCTATAGAATGTGTGGCAATTTTAATTTGAGTGCATTGCTTTTGTGTAATTTGCTGTATTTTCTTATGCAGTACTTTCCAGAAAAAAATAAAAGAAATTTAAAAAAAAATCTTTTGGAGTGATTGCAAACAGCATTGTTCTTTTTATTTATTGATCTGCAAGGACAGAAAAATTTCACATAATAAGGTCACCCGATAGTATGTGATTGTGCGATGAGGATGTATATAGAAAGTTTAAAGGTATATACTAAGTATGCTAAACCAAACAAACTCGATGTACCTATTTCATACTTTTTTCTTGCTTTAAATGAGACAAATTTGAAGTTTTTTTTACTGAAATTCAGCCGGGCGAACTGGGAATTGTACACCACCCAGAGTCACTGTGTATAAATTGGATGGCTATATAAATCTGCTTAATAAATAATTAAATGTTCTAGGGACTACAAAAAAGGCTCTGGGGCTGCCTGAAGGGGCCACCAATTGTCTTATTTTTCATTACCAAGTATTTAACTTTAACATTTAAATATTTAATTAATTAATTGAATACATAATATTTAAAATATTTTATTGCTTAAAAAAAACTCCTGTGAGGCAGATTAAGGTGAAAATATGTCTTGTTATTCTTCTATAGAAGAAGAGAGGAATGATTGTCTCATTAACTTTTCTGAACGCCAACCTCGGTATTCAGTCACTGAAAGCATACTAGCAGTTTTTTCTGCTCCCTGCCTTGTACAATAATTTGCTCTAGTTTAGAAGTAGCTTTTGGATTTTGGATCCCTGAAATAATAATATCTCACCTGTCCAGATAATTCTGGGTTTCATCAAGAATCCTCTCTCTATTGAAGTGATGTGTAGCTACACTCTTGGCATGAGACACAATGGAATTCATTTTCTCAGCCAGTCCCTGCATTTCATTTTCTAGTTGTCTATGCTCCTTAAGTAAATTGCGACTGGAACGCAAATCATGACCCAATTCTGCATTTTGAAGCATCCTTTCTATCTTCTCTATCTTCTCGTCAGCATCCTAAGGAAAGAGAAGTAGAAATCAGATACAAATACAGGTGATGCTCAAATTTATTCTGCCCGTTTTACAAAACTTTCCAGGTCTTCCCAATTCAATGCTTCTGTCTTTTTGCATTCAGATAGGATATCTGCTTCTATATTTGATCTTGCTAAATTTTGTGGGCAACATGCAGAATCTGACTGCAGGAAACCTAAGGAGAATTAAAAGGGGGGCTTCAATTTCTGTAATTTCCTACTGCCTTCATATAATGTCTTAGATATTTTAGTATTTATAAGGTATTTTGAATTTGACTGTAATAAATCATTCATTCATGCATTGCTCCTAACCTCAAGAAGCTCCATCAGTTGTTCCTGCTGACCAGCCTGCCTCAATTTATCTCCACGTTCTATCATCTTGCTGTAGAGTTTCTCCCATTTCTTCTTTATTTCCAACATTTTGTCCTGAATGGTATCTGCAGCATAGTGGCTATTTTGTATCAGTTGATTTCCAGCCTAGTGAAATGCAATACATTTAGTCAAAAACTCTTCTCTTGATAACCCCAAAAATTGCTGATCTGTATTCAGAGAAATACAGATATAGTATAGTATAAACCTTCATAACTCACACCAATTGTTGATCATCAGTTATCAATAACAATAATATTACAACTATACATCTTGAGTGAAGACACACTGTCATACTGACATGGATATAATTAATCTTGGTAATCTAGTCAATACATTTTCCAATTTACTAAAATAAGCTACTTTATGTGAAAGGCATGAAGAGTAGAAGAAGTCAATTATCTATGGGATAATCTGGTAATGATTGATTTGAATGAAAGAGGTTTGATCCTATGAGTGGATTTGATGAATGTCTGCAGAAAAAGTGAAGGTGTAGATTTAATATCAGAAGCTATAAATTTATGTAATCTAGTTTGTTTTGGGTAGGTATAAAAGTATAAATTCATACATTGTTGATAGCTTTGTATGTTCAGTGATATTAAAGAACTAGACATGAACAATTAAAATACTGTTATTTTTTGCTGCAGAGAATCTGCAATCATTCATTCACTTGCATTGCCAGGATGTGCACTCATATGTTGATACATCCAAAATGAAAGCACCTAAATTATGAAGCTTCTAAACTGACTGTACAGTTTTAAGCTGAATATTAAAAATCTGTATTCTAATTTTAATTTTCTTAAAAAAAAATTAAACACAGGTTTTGTAGGAATTCTAGAGCAAATCATCACTAGTGATTTATAGCATCAACCTGCCATGGCTATAGTCATATGCTATATCATTTATGTGATGGTTACATTATTATACAAATAGCTAGCGTAGAATCTCCCAAGATTTCAACCCTGTGTTTTGGATACATGGACATAAGCTTGTTTTCTTATTAGTTGTATCATAGCAATTTACATAGACTATCTGTATGTAATTTTGCAATTCTCTCATTAGCCAAAGATTATCAAATTACTAGCCCTTCTACTAATTATCTTTCTACCTGCATGAGACCATCTTACCGTCATCACCCCCATAAAATGCTTCTTATTGGCCATCATTTCTTGTTCCGCAGCCTCATGCCTTTTCAGCTTCCGTAAGATATTTGTGGGATCACGGTAAGACTCATCTGAGGCTATCTTGTATTTTTCTTCCATCCATACCAAGAGTTCAGCAGTGTCACGAATGAATTCCTACAATTGTATACATTAGATTTTGAGAACTTGAGTAGACAGTGCAGTAAAATGTGTCATACATGTAGCATATTAAAGACTCCTATGACCAAAAATACTTTCATAAAAGATTGGAAGCCTTTTGCGGACTTTTTGTTGAAAATGGGGGGAAAGTGAAATGGTGATTTCTGGATTTGCTGATTAAAAATGTTGAATATGGGATAGAGAAAACTTACATGATGTAATCTTAGGGAGGGAGAAGGGATAATAAGTTGGTTTCTAACTGTTATAAGAAGATCAGAACTCAGTTCTTTAATTATCTGTTTCTTGTCTTGTTTGTACTGTTTTTCATGCTTTTTCTATTTTCCCCCCTAATTCATATATATACATACACACAAACACACACACACACACACACAAATAAAATAAATATATAAAATATTATAAATATAAACATAAAATATAAAATATATTTTATAGTATACGTATACGTATACGTATACGTATACATATACATATACATATACATATACATATACATATACATATACATATACATATACATATACATATATGTTGTGGCCCAGCAGGAGCCATTGGAGCTGCCACCAGACTCCGACAGTGAGGGGCCCTATGAGTCGGTTCTGGAGGATGTGGAGGACCCTGGACAGGGTGCCGACTCCGAGCAGGGCGCAGAGAGGCTGGTTGGCCACCAGGAGGCACCTGAGCCTTGGACCAGTGGGGAGGAGACAAGGGAGAGTAAGCCTAAGCCCAGCAGTGAGTTGTTCCTGGATGCTCGGCATCGAAGAGTTAATAGGCGTAAGGAACAGTTGTGCAGTTATAGGAGGTAATTGCACTTAGCTGGTGGTCATTAGGCTCCTCTCAAGACTATAAAAGGAATGATTGAATACACACCCTT